CGTGTACCCCAGTTTTTGAGGTATCAAAAAAAAAATTAAATTAACAAGGGATGAGTACTTCTTCTTCTTTAAAGGGATGAGTAATTTAACTTAGGGTGGAAAACGTAAAGATTTTTGTCATTATTGATGTTCTCAATGACATTTTTTTGTGAATCCTACAATTAAAGATGCATTTAGACTTCTACAACCTACTTGACGCACATTAATATGAATAAGGGTGATACACATGTTTTAAAAACATATAGTCAATATAGTCAATTCTTTCAATTCAATCGCAACTTATATTTCTAGATTAGCATTGCATCTGCTGTATTATTTTAAGATAAAATTTTATTTTTAAGAACTTTTTCTAGTTCGCTTCTACGAGTAGGTAAACTACTCCACAGATATGTAATTATGATGTTAAATTCATTTTATTGTTAACTTACATCTACAAAATGAATCCAAGAGTTCATTCCAGATTTTAAAACGTTTCGTTAACTGTAAATAATAATAAAACAAATAAGCACATTAAGCTAAATAAAATTTTATCATCACTAAATAAAAATTCTTTTGTTTGTGATAAACAGTTTGTCCACATGAAATCATTCTTATTTCTTATAAAAATAAATAAACATTTTCTGCTAAAATTTATTATTTGCATAGAAGAAAAAATGTCGATTAATATAGAACCATATTCTTGGCTGACGTTGGCTACTTTCCAATGTTTTTGGTTATCGAACTTTCTTTCACAAAAAATGCAATATTCTGGTAGTCTCGAATGTAATATTTTCTTGGTTGAAAAAAGCGCAATTTATATGCCCATTATCCAGTCTGCACATCGAAAAAGCGCCCCGAAATGAATGAAGGGTGGCGGCGGCGGCGGCGGCGGCGGTGGCGACTCCTCCAATACGAATGACAGTCGTCGATATATATGTTTTAGTATCGAACGGTAATAAAATCTAAAATGGCTGGCGAGATGCGAGGGTTGTTCATCTCTCACCCCCAGCATCCCCAGCCGGACGAAATCCTCCCCCGCAATCCACTGTGAGTCATGCGGGGGTGGAGGCCCTTCGACAGATGCACATTATAACGAATTAAAATGACCACCAGGTATTACAGGGGAAAGTTTATTCGTAAATCTTGATTGCATTACCACCATTTTTCAAAATTTCAGAGATGGTCATTTCAAGGTCACTGTGTGCAAATAATACTTGGATTTCTTTACCTGAATTCATAATTCAACATTTTAAAAAGGGTTGGTGGCATGTGTTCTTTTTTGGAGTTCAGGTAAAAACGTTATTTACTCGAATGCCGTTTCGAAAGCAAAAATTTGCTTTGTGCTTGAACAATTCGAATGGTAATCTTATCATCTCTCAATATTTGCATGTGATATTTCTTTATCGCTTTTTTAATTCTACGAAGTGACAAGAAATGAGAAACTCCTACCTCAACAAACGCCTTGTTGTTGTCGGTCAACACAAACTGGATGTATTTCCGTTAATTTTATCGCACAAACAAGACTAAATTTATGTAAAAATAGAAATAACTTCAGGGATTAACTTGCTTAAGTTGCAGTTTTAGAATTATTGACCAATAAGTGGAACCAATTTGCGAGGCTATTTTATGGTTATTTATGGCATTTGCGGGCAAATCCTTTGGCAAATAGAGCCATTTCAACCTCGGAAGATTTTGGTCTTGAAGCACAATTATTTTACCAAAGAGTCAATTAAATTTAATTGTGAACATTGCATAATAATAAAAATTTGGAATAATTGTTTGGTTTGTCGATATTTCTACAGACAAAAAAATCGTTTATTAAATGTAGGCGATGACTGACAGAAACTTTATGCGTGTTTTAACCACAAAAGTCATTAAACTGAAAAGGTGAAATCAATCAAATTAATAACTGGAGAGACGTGGTATTTAAGGCCCATTTATAAACTAAATTGGTTTTATCAATTTTTTACTTTTATGGTTTATCCACAACTAAAATCAGAACGAACACATCACGAAAGCGTTGTTAATTATTAACCATCTCTAGTCCTTATACGTGAAATGAAAGAAAAATTGTTTTCGTTTAATTTGAACATCTTTGGAATGATATGACAGAGTGTTATTACAGCTCAAACACCTCTTGTTCTAGTATATAGTAGTGACATATTTATTTTTACCAAGGCCTTAGAATTAATTAGTTTTTATTTGAATGTAATTAGTCGTCTGTTTGGAAATGTAAGCTAAAAACTGAGCTACAATTTTTTTGTAATTTATCAATATGCCCAATTAATTATTCTATTAATCATTAAACAAATTTTAATGTTTTTAAATAATTTGTTAAAAAAAAAACAATTATTACTATTGGCAACCAGTTATACACGCAAGGATATTTGTAGTTGTCAAGCTTAAATGTAAATTTATTAATTCGAATGAAAACGAAAATAATGGTATTCAAAATATCCTAAAATTTATATCTTTGCCAAATACAAAAAAATCTACTATCTTAATAATCCAATACAACAAAATAGATAAATTTGATTGTTTTATTAAGAATTAAAGAAAGTTTATTAAGATGACCTTTCATTTTTTATTGGGTTTTTAGAGTAAGTAATGCTAATTAAGTAGGTATTATTAATAAATTAATAAGCACTTTTCTCATTAATTGTTTCTCATCATAAATTAACCTGATTAATTATAAACATTTTACAATTTAGAACTATCAACACCTGTTGTAGAGTTATAGTTAGTAATAATTGAAGCACATTTTATTTATACAGTAGGTACTCAAAAATAAACTTTTTTTGCTGTATAGAACTTGTCCCATCTAGAAGTTATTTTTATGCTGGGTAATTTTAAAGTGTTTGCAAATATTTTAACAGGTGATAATAGAGCTTAAAAAAAGTCAAAATAACTCAACTTGCCTCATTGGAGTGTTTATAGTTTTTCAGATACAGGGTGTTAAAAAAGATTGTATATTCAAGTAGGTATGTAATAGTATGGACTAAAATAAACAAAAAAGTCTTTATAAACATGAGTAATGGTAAAGTAACGGTTTTGGTAAATGTGAACATTTTTAGAATTATGAAGACTTTTTTTTGACCCATTTCTATTAATTGATTAATATATTTTTGTTTATTTTTTTTATTTTGGTTATACCTCATGAAATATTTTACAAACTTTTTTTACACTCTGTAACCTCTTTACAGGGTGTTCTGCTCGTCGAATAAATCTAAATTAGGGACACAGCCTTAAATTTCTCCAACTCAAATTATAAATTTGAGATGAGATTAGCTCTTCAAAGTCTATTACACTGTTTAAACAAAAATAATTAAATTTAGCAAAAACAGGCACAGAAAAAAGTGTCCTCATATATAAAAAATCATAAAAGATTTTGCATCCAGTTTTTTTGTTAAAGTTACCACCGAATTTCATTATCTCAAAGGTTAAGGACTACTATCATGTAAACTTTAGTAAAAACTCAAAAGATTCACACTTCGTTTATATTGCATTTTTGCCAATTTTTCCAACGCCAAACTGAAGGTTTCACCTTCTATACAGGGTGCGTCAGAACTCGCGCCCCAAAGAAAAATGCCATATAAGGTAAGTTATCAGGAACATGGAAAAAATGTTAAAAAAAATTTATCTATAAAAATTTCGAAGTTATGAGGGTTTAAAGTTTGCACTTTGACTCTTTTTATTTCTGTTGGAAAAATAATTTTCCAAGGTTTTTTGCTATAGGCTATTAAAAGAGGAAACAAGGAAGCTGTATCCTAAATTGTAACTCTGTTCAATGTTATTTGTGGCTTTTATTGTCAAAATTTTTGTCCCTTTACTAGATAATTGTAAAAAAACATATATAATATCATCAGTATCATTACATAGATATAAAAAAATGTCAAATGTCAAAAAATATATGTCAAAATTTTTTGACAGATAGAATTTTTTAAATATTTTTTTCATGTTCCTGGTATCTTACCTTACTTGAAAATTTTCTCTGGGGTGCGAGTTCTGGCGCACCCTGTATGTAACAAACTATTAACATTCGGATAACGCAAGTTTAGTTATTTTGACTTTTTTGAGATTTGAATAAAATATTTGTACATACTTTTAAATCACCCCGTATATCATTTTATTAGTGAACAACAAGTAATAACAGTTTATTTCATTCTCTCCGGTAAATTAAGCTTTCCGGCTACATTTTTGATGGAGAATTTTCGTATTATTTTCTGTAACTTTAGAATGTTATAAAAAGACTCTAACCTTTTTCCGTTCTCGAGGCACTTAGCTGTAAAGTACATAACTGTTATATATATTATGTGTATTACGAATAAACCAATTAAATCGATCGAATTACCTCCAGGTACACTTTATCAGAAATATTTAAAAATACTCCAAGATTCCGCATTTCTCAAAATTATAAGATCATTATATCCACTTCTTCTTGTTTCAGTTGCAATTACTTCCCACGCATTTACGTTACAGTTTATTTCTCGCAAAAAAGCACTAAGTATTATTTGAAAAAAGGTAAAATTATATGCATTATGCGTACTTATTTCACGGGTTAAATACAAATCTTGGAATTTTTTCTTGCTGCTAAGATAAATGCTGGCATTCAAACCAGTTCAGAGCCTGTTATTATAAAAAGTAAATATGTACACAGAGTACAGTTATGATTTTTAATGGTCCAGGACAGGAATCGAGAAATTTGTGAGACGTGCTTGAACTCTTGCACCTGGTATTTCGGTTTCAAACATTTGAACTTGGAAAACAAATCATTAGCGAGTCAAGTTATTAATTTGCGTGCATTAAATATTTGCTGAACTTTTTTCGAAAAAAAAAGCAATCTTGTTAAGATAAATAAGTCATTTTCTGCAAAACAAATGCGGTGCATGTCTTAAAACATGCTATTTATGTCTTATCCTGTGATTATCGTTGCAAATTGTTATTTTCCTCTTTTTCCGACGAATTTTTTTGAAAAATACGTAATTCTACGAATGTCAAGTAGACTGTGTATAAATTATGCACCAGAATAAAATCTAGATAATTGTCAGATATATAACGTTTGATAGTAAGAATAAAATTTAAATGCGGGAAAATCCCACACTTTAACTGTAAAACTGAAGAAGGTAAGTAATGATCGTAATGACTCAAGAACAGTGAAAATCATCATTAAATGCTTTGTGTAGGAAACCTGTTATTACAAGTGCATCAATTCGAAATAACAATAAAAATGGTTGACGATTCAATGGATATTGAACCTTTCATGGATTTCCATCCTTGCAACACATCGCATGGAATGAAGGATTATATTTTGGAAGACTTGACAAGTGATCAGCAATTTAAATTAAATGTGCAAAAAAGAGAACAGATTAGGAGTAATCAGCAGTATTTAGCCGAACACCCTGAAGTAAAAAAACAGTTGGTAACTGTCCTAAAAACATAATTATGATTTTTGGGTAGATTAGGGGTTTAATTGTGATGATTCTGCGACTTTTAATGAAAAAGAAGCCAAAATACGACATTTATGAAGTCATTGGTCAATATTTCACTAAGCCTTCAGTCGATCTCAAACAGGAAGTCTACGATTACTTGGACGAAAGGGTTGTATTAAAAAATTAAATCTTCGTTTTATTTGTTTGGTTTTAGAGCAAGATTTTGTCGGTGAACAGCACAATAATTAAAGCTAAGCCAAGAGAAAGCGCATGTGGGAGTATTTTAACAACGATTGATGAAGAAGAGGAGAAGGAAGAAAATCTGGAAACGCTGCTGCAAGTGGAGGAAATGGAAGAAGTGAAGGACGATGAACATTTAGTTCGTTGGGGAGAGGAAGATTCGAAACCGGAAATTTCGGCTCATGCTATTTGTCAAGAAGTCGTGAACGAAATTGTTAACAATGTTTTTGAGGAGGTTTGAGCAAACTTTTAAGATTCATCACAAGTTGATTTTTTTTTTTCAGGTTGATGATCTTTCAGTTGGAAGTATAGCAAGTGTTGGGTTTCCGGTTGATTACGAAGATCATGCGATTGAGTCTGTACGTTCTTCAGAAGAATCGATTCCTTCAAATTAAATAAATAATGAAACTATGTTTTTAGTACGCTGAATAAATTACTGTGTATAGTAAGTTTTTTCTTATAAAATGACGACGAACTAGAAGGAAATGGGAATCAATATCGAGAAAGTAGTTATAACTTTTCATTTTATAAGTTTATTATACATATTTTTTACACATTATAATATACATAATTATACAATAAAGTTTACAAAAAACAACTTTTTTCAATAGTTTGTCTCCAATTGAGAAGATAACTTTTTTTTTTTAATTATATGATGGCTGAATTTTACAATAAAGAGTTAACTTTAAATTATTTCAATTTGTAATTAAATTTATAGTTTTGCAAATGTTTTTTATATATATATATACATACAGGGTGAGTCTTAACTTACGCATAAATTTAGGGAATGAAAGGTTATGATCAATAATAAGTAAAAAAAATAAGTAAAAAGTTTTTTTTATTTTTATCGAATGTCAATAAAAAATACCACTTAATCTGACCAAAATAAAGAAAATCGATTCACTTAGTTATTGACAGGCGCATCGTGAATAAATGTAATGTCAGCATTAGTGTCATCAGCGCAAATTATCTAAAATTTTAAAATCTAATAGTGTTTTTAGATTTTTTTCTCTATTAGTTATTATTTGGCATAACCTAACATACTCTAAAATTATGAGTACCTATAAGTTTAAGAGTCACCCTGTATAACTAATCTCTTCTACAGAATGGAATTTGATATAATTTCTTCAAACTTTTCTTTAAATAAAAAATAAATGGATAGGGAAGAACATATTTATTAAAGAAATCATGCTAATAAACCAGTTAACATGTTGGTTGCATTCGACGAGTTTGTAAATCGGACGCTTTATTTCAAGGAGTGGTTTATCACCCACGAGGTGGAATAAAGCGTCCGACTTACACGAAGACGAGTTAAAAACAACATTTTATTCTTCGAATTAGACTCAACAAGGCTTAAAATTGCTTTAAATCTGTTAAAAGTAATCTGACATTTTGTATTGAGAAATGGCAAACTGTTGTCAAAACTTCCTTATATAGAAGAAAAACCACAAATTTTGACAGTGACGAAGAATAAAATGTTTAATTTATCTTTAGAATTAAGATTTTATCTAGCTTATACAGGGTGTCAGAACTTGCGCCCCAGAGAAAAATTTCGGGTAAAATTTTTATAGATAGAATTTTTTAAACATTTTTTCCATGTTCCTGGTACTTTAGCTTATACTGCATTTTTCTCTAGAGTGCGAGTTCTGGCGCAGCGTGTATAAACGATTTGATACAAAAATAAATTTGAATAATCTAATCAATAATAAAAAAGTTATTTTATTAGAAAATTCTGAAAATGATTCCTTTTTCAGTGAAGGCTTCAAAAATTTACGAGGTAAAAGACATCTAAAGAAAAAAAAGCATAAGGATAAAAAAAACATATTTATTTATTTTAAGATACTGACAAATGTATTTCTCATGTGTTAAATTATAAATAAAATATTGAAAATCTAGTGGAAAAAAAATTGATTTACAAGCGTTGAAAACAATCGCAGCCACCCAAATATATTACCCTAATTTCCATTTTCAAATGAGACATAAATTTCCTCTAATAATGCTCTAATTGGTGAACACTAACGAATTCATTTCCCACATCGATCACGCTTTACATTGCTTGAAAATGGTAACAAAAAGTCAAACATCTTCTTCTGAATCGAAGAGGTGGAAGAATATAAATGGTGAATGAAAACAACAGTCGAAGAGTCCAGGTGAAGACTGTGGCTTAAGCACTTTGTGTTGCAATAGTTCTCAGAATTAAGAGGTAGGCACACAATTTCATACTCTAAGTACTTTTAATTGTTCTAAATTTCATCCAATTTTTGATTTAACTAAAATTTTCACAGAATCTCGTGTAAATATTGCTTTTTATTTTTTTTTTAAATAAATTTCTCCGGCAATTATGGTTGTCACGGTAGTTTCCATTTAATTTGCATTTTTTAGACTTTTGATCTTGTTATTTTCGCTCAAACATTGTTGAAAAAATCGCTTCGTTCGAGATGAAGTGAGCAAATACCGTGGCCACATATGAGAACTTGTTCTGTGGTATTTTGAAAGAAATGCATGTACCGTTTATAGGAAATTTTACATGTCTCAGAACCATCTTGCGACAGTTAACCGAGTACCCTAAAAAAACAGCACCAATAATTCATGCCCAATAAAAATTGATGTCAACTATAACGGCAAATGGTGCGTGTCTTTACTAAGTCTGTCAAAATAAAACAAACAATTATTTATTTGAATTCAGAATTGCTTCAAGTGTTCATTCTTCATCACTGCTTGTCAAATCAAAAGCCACCGTCTGAATGTTAATTAAAGATGTTCAAGTGCGGTAGGTACAAAAACGTTAAATTAGAGACGCTTCTGAGGATGGGATGGAAGTTATTATAAAAATTAATTTCCGTTCATTCTTAAAAAAGCACTTATTTACTAGTGCAATTATCATCAATTTGTATCAAATTTATACGCCATTCGTTTTAATTAGTTTAGAATAATTTCAGATGCCTTAAGTAGAAATTACTAATAATGCGGATAAGTGTACCTACAAGAAATAAAAGATTGATCACTGCTAATTTGTTTGCAGGTCAATGTCCGAAAATAATACCTTCTTTAATTTAAACTTTTCTGTTTACTAATAAGTGCATAAAATCCTCCCACGGATGTTAACATAACTTTGCAAGCCTTAAATTTTGCCATAAATTAATTTATTTTATCTTACAGGTTGAGTTTTTGAACTACCTTAGACCATGTTTTCGGTGATAGAAATCAAATATTATTCACAAGTGAGATAAAGTACTCACAAGTGAGTAAATTTGACTATTACATTATATTTACTATTATATTTTTATAGGTGAATATTTTACATGAATGAAACTTCATTTTTTAGATAGTTGCATCTGTAAGATAAAATGTCGTATATCACAGGTTTTCGAAATGCCATAATGAAACTCGTGAGAAGTGTCCCACTCGTGCGCAAGCTCACTCGTCGGTCAAAATTCTCACTCGCGTATAATGATGCATTTCTATCACTTATAATATAATGTACTATTATTCAGCTTTGAGAAGATTGCGATTCAGTGATTTTCTGCACCACTCATTCATAATAAAAGCGTGAGTTGTTTATTAAACTATTTGTATCAAGTAAATATGCCGTGCACTACTTTGTGAATGAAATCAATCGATACTATTGTCGCGTAATATGTTTGGTTTTTACGCAACTTTGTTTTGAAATTATTTATGAATGACGAACAGTATGTGATGTGTATATGAAAAGTATTCTATTGACTTTATAAAAACATGAAAATAATCATTTCAATTTCTTGGTACTCAACAGAACAATTTTCAATGAACTTGAATTACTACCTGTGCAGAATTAATTAGGTACTAAAAAGAGTTATTTACGATACTAAAAACTACTTAATAACGATTCTGCAGAAACTGCATGTTATACGACGTTGTGGTGCGTCAATTGATTAATGTTTTCATGCTTCTTTCATTCTTTTTTATTTATAAATAGAAATAACTTGTAGATGGTCATTGCAAACTGTTTCATATTGTAATTTTAAAAATTCAATGCAAAACTGTGGTATAGTTTAGTGACATTCATTCTTATTGAAGCACTCTTCGCTTCGCCTGTCCTCGGTAGACAGTTTTTTGTGCATGTCTTTTATTTAATTAGCTAATTTGAATAGAGGTTAACCGCTGGCGAATTTTTCTAAATTACCGAAATAATATACAGGGTGTTTCACATAATTTTACGAGGCCTACGAACTCGATTACAAATTTTGATAAATTAGATTATCTTCTCTAGTTTGTTCACCCTTTCAAAAATTACAACGTTTTTAGTTAGTTAGTGATTAAGATGGATAAACTAGAATCATATTCATGCCGTCTCTTGAAAGAACAAAGAATAATTTTTTCTGAAAAACTGTAGTTTATAACTATTAATGAAACAGTGATTAGTTTGACAACTACTGTCATGGGTTTCCAAAAATTAAATAATGAAATGTGTATTTTTTGTATCCAGTGTTTGTGAATTTTGTATATTTGGGTGCGTACATTAGGCGCAAGCCTCGTAAAGATGTGTGAAACACCCTGTATAATATTTCTTAATTAATTTCAAAATTTGAACTGTCGAATTGAAAATTTTGTTATGTTTTTTCTATTTCGTTGACATTACCAGGGCCATCTATCGGATGCTATTTTTTTCCAAATTATCATATGATTTTTAAAACACTTTGTTAATCAATTTTTACATTATTTTTGTTTAAAATAAAATCAATTAAAGTGTATTTTTTAAACATTAGACGTTGGTGCCCATAGAAATCAATGTAGTTTATATACCAAATTTCAAAATCATCGGCTAACTATGATTTTTTTATTTTTTTATGTTTATTAATTCACAAATCAAAGAATTTTGTTTTTAACAGTTCTTTTATTAGATACAAATAATAAAATACATTCAGATTATAATACATGTAGATACTAAATAAATTTTAAAAGTTTCTGTTAATAAAAAGCAATTATCTTGGAAAAAAAATAAAAATCATAGCTGGCCGATGACTTTGAAATTTGGTATAGGCGTTTAAATGTTGACTGACTCTAAACAACTATTTGTCGAATTTGTCACATAAAAGGCACTTTACTCTATCCAAAAGAGTTTTTTTGAAAATTTCTAAGGCATACTTGTTTTTTTCAAAACAAAAATTATGTTAGAAATTAATTTTTGACTAAGCAGAGCTCAACCTCAAAAAATGAAAGTTTTCATTGATTTTTTTAATCTTTTACAAGAATCGTTGCACCTATCCGGAGACACACTGTGTATTTTATGCAATATGAAGTTAATTTTTGTATACATTTTATAATTTTCAAATAAAACAATATACTACATACCAGGTGAATAAAAAGTATGGAACCAAACGTTTTTCGCTTAAACTATTTATTTTTTGGAAAAACTAA